AATTTGGGCTGTGATTTGTGATGCTCATAAGTGATGGCGATATGCAGGGAATGTTAGCCCGGAGGGGAAAAAAAGCAAAGAAGGAGAAAGGGATGAATATCGATTCCCCGGTTTAAATTAAGCTGTCGGAGAGACTGAGAGATGAAGAGAGAGAGAGAGAGAGAGAGAGAGAGCGAGAGAGAGAACACCAGGGCTTTTGGGAAATGCCCAACTTCCAACAATACTGATCTCATATGAAGAAATGACTCATTTGCTCCATGCATCTGCTTTTCAGCAAAGACTTCAGGCCAACTGACCAGAGCTTGCACACATGAAAGGACAGGGGAAGGGGGGGGGCACATAAATCTGCATGTCAACACAGGCTGCGTGTTCAGCAGCAGGGAGTGTAGATGCGGACTCTCTGCTTTGACCAAAACCACTGAGGGGGCTTCACCTCCAACTTATATTGCAGCACACTCACACTTAAACAAACAGAAGCACGACATTCACATGAAAAACAAAAACATGTTTAATGTCCTTATTTCTGGCAGATAAAGTACCAAAATTATACTGCAAAATCAACAGTCTCCGCTGAGAAAAACAGGTCTCTAGGTATAAAAGAATCTTCACACACACACACACACACAGAAATCACAAATACAACATAAGCTCAAGTACAAAAGCTCCCCGGAGTTTCTGTAAGATGAAAAAGGCCGACACCAAGCACCAACAAAACAAAATGAAGGAAAACCATTTAACTTTGACACTGTGTTCTCAACCTGCTTCCAAAAAAAAGTGAGCGCCGCCATTTGCTCTGCCGTTCCACTTTGATCATGACTCGCTCCCCATTTTCAAACGGGGTGACATTTGAAAAACACTATCCCACATCCGCCTGCTATCATCGCCGGATGAGGATACGGAGAAATAACAGGGCCAGCGCGGGCCACCTGCAGCACAGCACATCTCGTCTCCCCGAGAAAATGGCGGTGAACAAAAAAAAAAAAAATAGGCGTCCAACTGTCGCAATCTGCCGTCTGGCCTGCGGCGATGGGAAGACCATATTTGGTCATCATTTCTGCCTTTCCTAAACTGAGACGCCGTTTTTTCGGCCATTACTGGGAGAGATAAGGGGAGCGAGGGGACGCGGTGCTTATTTCTTTATTTTCCTTAAAGATGAGAGATGACAAGACCGAAAAAAGAGAGGAGAAGGGACGAAAATAATGACTGAAGTGCTTTACCACCTACAGAGCCCCATCTCTCAAATTGCCCCTTGTAGGGGGACAAATTGATCCTGGAAATAAGGGGTCATTTCCTCGGCCTGTTTTCCTGTTCACAGCACACTGTCATCAGTTTGAAACACGTTCACCAAAGCTGACCCCGCTGTGCCCTCCCAGAGCTAATGTGAGGGAGGGTTGAGTCTTTACTGTGACAACAAGTGCGTGTGTGTGTGCGTGCTGACTTCCCCAAAAGCAGTGACCACGTTGACCTTTGTATCTTTGAACCTTGAGCCAAATGAACCGTTTCAGCCTCTCTGCAGATATACAGCGACAGTCCGTCTATAGCAGAAAACCATCATCGATCAAATCGCACTATTTAAACAGCCACTAGTCAGACGAGTGTGAGTCCATGTTGATATTGGTGGGTGTGTTTACGTAAGTTGAAAGCTATTATTTAGATTCAAGCAGTTCTTATCGGTTCATGGTCCTTATTATTGTCTAACTATTGGAGTAGCAAATAAATATGCAAGAAACAGCTAAAAACATCACAAAAAATGCAGGCATGCTGTTCAGGGTTTGAGCTTCAGGACGTCCTGTTGTCCAAAGGCCGGAACATAAAGGACCGGGGGAGAAAGAAACCACATTTTTGACGAATCTGGGACAAGAGTTGAAAGAAAAATAGCCTGCTGCACTTCAATGAACGGAGATGACTGGCCGCTGACGGGCGCAGCGGCGACGGGGAATTCAACCCAAGTCAATGAGAAAAGCTTGCTACTATTAACGTTAACGTTACCAGTTACATCGTTAGACGCTTTGACGGTTAACGCTAGCTAACCAGTCAGCAGCCGACGTTTCCATTTACAGTGAGTAAATGTTAACTATGAGGAGTCAATGATATAAATGTAAACCATGTATTTACTTCCTTACTCCTCTGCATGCACTCTGGGTAATAAGGCTGCAACAAGATCTCTCCATCTCCTGTTCTTCCTCTAGCACCAGCTGGCAGGGCCGCTTCTAGCTTTTTGGAGGCTTTATGCAAAATCTTGTTGTTTCTTTTTATCAAACATAACTTTTCAATATAAAAGAATATATATTTAATTTTGATTTAAGTTAGCTGCATTTTTTAATGTAAAGACCAAAACAAACATGCTAATTATAAGTAAACCAATAAAATTACTTTTCAAAATAAAATAAAAAACAATGTTTTGAATGAATTTATGAACAGAATAAAGGAATTACTTTTGATGTTTTCTTTATGTTAAAGGTCACTATGAATGATTTCAACTAATGATAATGTAGAAAAACAATGATTTTACATTCGGGACGGTCCAGATTTATTTCAGGGTAGCTTAGCTTGTTTTTCGGATGGTGAAAAACGGTAGATGAGAGCCCTGATACAGTCACAACCCTAACACACACCTGAACTGGTGTTAAAATCTCACCTCTCTAAACCAGGCTCTGTATTTTTCCCATTATCAACATGGAGCTCTCGGTGCGTGACGTTCTTTTAATCAGTTTGGTTAAATTTACTCCTTAAATGCCCCCCTCTCACTCAATCCATCGGGTTGTGATAAAACGGCTCCGTTGAGGGGAGGTTTGTGCTCGACCACCAAAGCCAGCTTTCCCCCCCCCCCTCCCCCTCTTTCTCCTCTCCTCCCGGCCGCTCAGAGCTGTGTGACTGTAAAGTGTAACGATAAAGCAGCTTACAACTGAAGGCTTTTATTTATTTGCTCCGAGTCCTTGAGAAGCAGACAGCATGTAGGCTACATAATACACACACACACACACACACACAGGTCTGCAGATTCAGGAGGTAGGGCAAAAAGGAAATGGCCCTGCAGTACTCCTCCTCTGGGGGGGGTGGGGGGGTTGAGCAGCGCAGCAGCATCAGAGCAGCGAGCATGTAGGACTCCCCAGCTACGACTGTGCACCTCAACCAGCAACTCACCAACCGTGTGCCGCTACGCACACACAACATCCTATAGCTTTATCTCCCACACAGGCTGCCTCCCCCCCCCACACACACACACACACAATTTTCAATTCCAATATTCCCAGAGGTGATTCAGACACACACACCTTCAGCCCCTGAACCAATGCAGCAAATATCATTATGGAATCAATGCAGCCTTGAATCAATCGAGGCTGTGCGTGTACATGCGTGTGTGTGTGCTGTATGTGCATGAGTGTGATAAAGGGATGAAGTTGATAACACCATGTGCTCCTGTGAGGATTCCACCAAACTCCATGTTTTTTTTTTTTATTATTTTGATTGAAAGGAGGCAGTAGGAGGTAAGGTATTACCATAACCTTCCCACCGCATGTCTGCGCTTAGCTCAATATTGCAGGAATAATTTCACACGTATACACACACCAACACACACACACACACACGCACACATGCATCCTTTGTTGCTATGCACCATGGTAAATTCAATATTGTGTTCACACTCTTAAGCCAAGAGTGGGAGTACAGTCGGCAGAGGAGCCACAGCCTTCGCTGTAAATCAATAGATTAAATAGAAAGGTATGAATAAAACACAAGATAATAAATAAAAGAGGAGATGCTTTACTCTCCTTGCATCTCGTTTGAGAGAGAAAGAGGGAAAGAAAAGAACCAAGTGGGAGCAGCAAGGAAGATGACCAGAATAAAAAAAATAAAGTTATTGTTGTCCTTTCAACTTGTGGTTGAAATTCTTGTGTCCATCCTTCCCTCTGCAGAAGCGTGACTGCGTGCGTAAGGAGTGTACTGTAGCTGTTTTTCTAAGCATGCCATGCTGTTGAATGTGTGCACCACAAACCAACATGTGTCCTTCTGTAAATGTCATTACTGAAAACATCCATGTGGCCTAGAGATAGAAAGGCAGATGTGCCAAACAAGCTTGTGCATAATCGTCTCAAATATGGTTCAACTCCGAAATGCTGTTTGCGGAGTGCGGCCGTGAGTGTGCTTTGTGTGGAGAGCTGTTGAAATCCTTTATCGACGAATAAATGAGTTGATTTAATTGAAAAATCATTCAAACTGTTTCTCCATTGTCCCTCCACAGATTAAAGGGGCCCTGTGGAGTTCATACTCTCACCAAAACATTCCTCCTTGAGGCCTAACAATGCTGAATGCATTTCCTTCCTCGTGACCCATTTGCAAAGCCAATTTCTAAAATATATTGACGGCTCCATTGTTTACATCCACGTTTAGATCAGACAGCAGTCTTCTTCTTCTTCTGCGCCTTCATTGGTACGTTTCTCGGGGTGTCACCGCCACCGACTGTTCATCGGTCAAACAGCTGGAAGGCAGCAGCAGGAATGTGCAGCGTGTCACCAACACGCGTGTGCATTACACAAACTAAAGTAAACACTGCTCCATGGTGCGGCTAGCGGTGGAAAACTCACAATCTCATGCTTACTAAAGGCCAAGGCCTATTTGTGAATATTATTGTGATGCCAGAGAAGCAACTATTAGGCCTACTGCTCATTAATCAATAACAGCTCCCAAATGAAGATAATAAAAACATGACTAATCAATGAAAGACTTCTTCGCTAACTAAGACCCTAAAGAGCCATTAGGGCCCCACGACCCACTGGTCTTCTTTTAGTTGATTCACTTTAAGTATTGGCAAACACATTAGTGTCTGGATTTATCATAATACCACTGTTGGATTATACAAATTAGAATGTATACTAACTGTTACAGTTTTTCCTTTTTTTGCATTTGTCTTTTTTTTCTAACTACGGCTCTTGTTGAACACCTGGCTGTCCGAGGAGGAGGCTCGGCGCTGTACAGTACTGGTCTATAACTCGACATACCTGTCGTTGATGCTCCAGTTGAGGCAGAGGTTGAGGGAGCTGAGGTTGCGACATTTCCTCACCACCTCCATCACCGTCTCATTGTTGAGCTCCGAGATGTGCCGCAGGTCCAGGACATTCAGGTTCCGCAGCTACAGGAGGCAACACACACAGACATGTTTGACAGTCAAAAATAAGCGTTTTGTTGATTACAATAGTTTTTATCAATATAGAAGAGCGGTATTCCGTCGATTAAATGCAAAACTAGGCGGCGCAATCAGAAAACTAAAAGAATATCAAAGATACATTTTCTCCATTTTGGTTTCTGAGGAGAACACATAACAAGCGATTTACAGATCAGACGTGTGCGCTCAGGAATGCAATTTCATTTCAGCTGGACTTTAACAATCCAGCACTCACGCTTTATCTCTTTTACACAAACAGGTATGCGGGAAACACAAAGTCCCGTCTGCTCATGGAGGAACCAGCAGCTGATGTGTCACAAAGCTACAGGAAGAGTAATATTTAGTGAAGGCACGTACGGTATATACACGTCTGCTGAAATAAATGGAAGCTTTTGACGTATCTGCAAGGAGAGTGGAATAAATCTCTCTATACGCTGAGTAAACTTGTTTAGCTCCACATGTACTGAAAAAACAACAGCATGAATGCAGAATGAAACCTAACAAGGCAGATAAACGGCAGAAAGCATCTTGCTGTTACTGTTTATCATTCTGTGCCTGCGTGCCTGGTGTGAGGGGTTATGAGCCAATATGAGCATTCACTTTTCCCCCTCTTCCTTTCATCTCTCCGACTTCCAATAATCCCTCTTTCCGATCTGAATACTTCATAAGAGGGGGTTTAGATTAATCCTCCGGTGAAAATCTCTACTTCCTGAAGCACTCTTAGAAACCCACACCGACGCACAAGCGCTCCCGCACGCCAAGAAAATCACCCACTTTTGTGGCTTTTTCAAGTCACAGCACAGGTGTGTTTTCTCTGATACATACTCGGAGCTATTTAAGGCACAGGTGCATGCACACATATGCGCTCACATATGCACACACACACACACACACACACACACACACCGGGGATGCGAGATAATAGAGGTATGATATTCCGGCCAGCCGCAAAGGGAGGCAGGGAGGTAAATGTCAGGGCCAAGGCTAAAGAGAAAACAAGCTTACAGTTGCTGTTAAGATCACCGAGCACTGTTGTCGGCTCCATAGGCGTGACATATACCTACCAGCATGAGGGGGGGGGGATAAGGGCTGAGGCTCACTGGGTGTTAAGTAAGCACACATGTAAACACTCCTCCCTGTCCCTCCCCACGTACCAAGAGTCAAAACACACACAACTGCAAACAAACAGCGGTGAGTGTGTGATGCTGCAAAAAAAAGGATATACAGTAAATAAAAGGCGTTTAATAAATGGCTTTTTGTTTTTTGTCACTCTTTGACTTGGATCCACACCTCTTGTGATAAAAGTTCTGCTTGGGAATAAAATAAACATGAAGCAGATTTGGTTCGTGGCAAATCCGCCCCCATACTCTGAAGACACGACTTACATATAGGAATGAAACAAACATTCAAACGGCTCACGCGTGTGCAAAGACGGGGTCAAGAATGCAGCCGTGGTCGTCGGGGACAGCTAAACTGACATGATGAACGATGGTATTTAATGAGCAGGGGAAAACCCTCATCTGTGTGAATTAACATAGACAGGAACGTGCACAAGCAGATGCACACGCACGTGTAAAGACACACACGTTTATATACACACACACACACAAACTGTCATTTGCCCCTGTGGCCAGTCTAGGATCGAAGTGCAAAATTATTCATGGAGAATTAGGATGGTGTGTGTGTGTGTGTGAGTGTGTGTGTGTGTGTGTGTGTGTGTGTGTGTGGGGGGGAGGGGCGGGGGGGGGGGGTGGCGGCATTGTTTGCACAACAAAGGCTCTGCAAAAATCAAACCTGAAAGTGGGCTAAGTGACCAGTATTTATGGTTATTCAGCCTGGAGTACATTTTAAAAGCCTCAACATCAAAAGTAGTATTTATTCTCCAAATCCTCAAAACTGCTTAGGTCTGCTGTAGCAGAATTTCTACTACAACCAATAGAAAGCGTCCCATTGATGTGGATAACCAATGAGAAACCAGGCCAACCTGTGTGAGTTTTCATTGGCTGAGAGTGTAGCTAGGTTGAAGAAAAAAAAAAACATTTAGCAGATGTCTGCTTGAAAGGGAAGAGGCAGAGTCACGGCTGAGACTGTAACTTTGTTAATCCATCTGTGGGGGGGGGGAAATAAAAAAAGAACACTGAAGAGAAAATAATAGTTTAGAAGACATCTGACGAAAGAAAAATACCCCTCCAAATCCCGAAAATGAGAAGTGTCACAAAGACAGGCTCTCAGTAATTAGTCACACCTCCAGAATGTGACGAGCCGCGTTGCCAGTGTTTGTTTTCTCAGAGCTGACAGAATATCATAATTTGACTCATAGGTGAACGGTTTTAATGCTTCCAATCGTCTTTAATCATTTCCACTCATGATGCAGATTTCTTTCTGTGAATCAAGAATAAACAGGCGCGGACGAGAAAGAAAAATAAATGGAGAGAAATTGGGGGAGAAGGGAGTGCCGACGAAGCACGGGGAGGGAAAAAAGGGAGACGGGAACAGAGAAGAAGAGGAAAGAGTGAAGAGAGCGAGTGAGCGAGGAAAAGAGAGCAACAGCAGAGAGAGAGCAGGGGATTTGGTGAGGGGTTCGGCAGGTTTTTCTCCTCGTTGGCTGAGGTCTGTAACCAGGCAGAGTCTGTCCCGTCTCCTCTGAGTTGGCAGCTACACCTGGATAATTATTCATGCTGTTCATAAAAACACTGAAACCTGCAGAATCCAGCTGCTCTGAGGCCAGCGTGTCGTCCCCGCCAACGCACGTGCAAGACGCAGAACTGAAGGCTGATTATATGAATATGCCAACGCACACGCACTTTACGTGTACTTGAGTGTTTCCGTTTTATGCTAATGTGAACCCAGACTCCACAACACGCCACGCAGAAATATTTGACTTTTTACTCCACTGCATTTATTTCAACTCACTTTTCAAATTGAGATTTTCTAGAAAAAGATATGATTGATTAATAAATATGTACAAATACTGTCATAAGAGCATATTTAGAAGTACCTCGACCAGATAAAACATTTAAAAACAAATAATAACAACAATAATAATCTTGTATTTGAATTATTACACTCCGTACTTTTGATATTTTCAGTACATGTTTTTGCTCATACTAGTGATACCACCTAAAGCGCTTAGTCAATATGACAATATGATATAAATTATAGTTTTTCAATGGAATCGTATCGTTATGAAATCAAATGTCGAGATATCGTGACACACAATTACATCATCTATATTGATAAAAGCAAGCAAATATTTAATTATACTAAATATGATTATTTTGCACAAGCACTTTTCATTTGTCGAGTATTTCATTCACACAAGAGTACAAAAAAAACATGTATTTATTTCATGGAAATTATGTATTCAATGAATTACCAGAAAACTGCTATATTGTGATATATATTGTTATCGAGGTATGAAAGGACAATATGATAAAACGTTTTGGTACCATCGCCCAGCACTACTTTTACTCAAGCTAAATTATGGATTCTGGAAGCCAAATACAATAATCATAATACCAATGACTATTATATACTAATAGAAGTATTTTTCGGCTGTGAAATTTAACATGAAAAATGAAAGCAGTGAAGTTTAAAACCATCACTGAATCAATTAACCGGTCCTAAAATGTATTTTTTTAATTTCTTAAAAGTCAACCTTCGAGTTTTTAATTAAATTGTTCAATTGTGCCAAAAGAATTAATAATAATAATTATATACAGAGCAGAAAATTGAAAATCCCAGAATCACAACATTGGATATGAATCTCAGTTCACAGACGGAAAACATCACACCTTTACGGGAGAAAAGCAATCACTTCAGATTGTACCAGCGCCGGAGGAGCAAACAGCCGTCGCCACACTTCAGTATTAAAGAGGTTGTTTTAATTCAGTCCACATGAGAGGAGGAGGTCTGTGGGCTCCCACCTGCTTCAATCAGAAGCCTCTCTCCAACACGACAAAGCGAGAGCCGGAGTCAGAGGTCAAACTCAGAACACCGCTTTAAATGAAAGAAAAATGAGCGGAAGGTTTCAAAGGCGCGCTATCTTCCAGCCAAGCATAGGCTGGAGTTCAATATTTGGAGAGGTTGATTAGACACTTTATTACATTAGTGTATGTCACAGTCTGGCAAACAGTGGGTGAGTATGTGTGTGTGTGTGTGGGTGTGTGTGTATACCTCTGACTGCAGAGCTATGACTACCTGTGCTGTTACTTAATTTATTTACACAACGTCAGGCATCATGATGCCAGGCAGGAAGTGGAGGCCTGGTGGACCCCATGCAGAGGATATGATGTCATGGTTTGAACGCCGGCACCAAGCAGCAGGAGCTCACGGCTGTTGCCGTCCATCAAACTCAGTGTCCCGGCTGACAAGCAGCTCGATGACATTTAAACAGAGCGAGCGTTGTTTCCGTCATAAATAGCCAACATGTTTGGGGTTCGGAAAGTATGAGCTGCTATTTCATTGCTGTGGTCGAATGTATAACCGGAGTTTAGTCAATGAAGAATATATGTCCTGCAGTGGGAAATGCATATAGATCCACCCCAAAAAAAACCAACACATGCACGGCCTGTGAAAAATGGAGGTTAAAAAAAGAAGCTTTTCAGTAAAACTTAACAGGCGTAACGGTGGAAACTCTCCATTCTCAGACGGGCAGAGATGAGTAGACACAAGCTGAAATCCTCCGAACAATGCAGGTGGAAGTTTAGACAGTCACTTTGAAGCGACATTCAAAGTCCTGAGCGAAGAAGTCACAGGGGTGTTGCCGAAGTGGCATTGTGGGCCCCGACACATTTTGCTCGGCTGTCCGCATGTGTTGGAGGCCGTGTGAGACGGGGTGAGGCGGGGGAGGGAGGGAGGGAGAAAGGTGGGACGAATGGCAGCGGTGTCATTAGGTGAATACAAGCGCGCACTCATGCATATACGCTTTGTTTTTTGCTTTTGTTTGTTTGTCTTCTTCCATATCG